GTTTGGGTGGTTAAAATGTTATATTTAATGTTTTGGTTGATTGTCAAATAGAAATCCCTTTAAAAATCAGAATGGTGGTATATTTTACGTAATATAAAGGATTTGGTTGGTATAAATGTAGAAAGGAAAATTTAGGCGTTAGATATGTAAATGCATAGGAATTAAATTATCATACTTCTAAACTTTATAGTCCCCTCAATATCAAATATTTAGGAACACAAATACTTCATTATCAAATTATCAGACTTCTAAACTTCATAGTCCCCTCAAAATGAAATATTTAGAATCAATGAAGGCCCAACTGAATCACATAACAAATCTTATGTAAGGATACACTAATCAAATTTTATCTCAGCTACAGAAAACGAAAAAATAGCTTACCATGGCAAAACAGAATAACTCTTTAACATAAAGGGAAGTAAAATTATTCATAACAATCAGGTGAAGAATTACCAAGTTCATAGGACGAAGAAGAATCAACCGATCATCGTTCGCTTCCGACCTCGCAGTCTCACTTTTAAGAATGAAGAGAGAGCGAATGAGAACTGGTTAAAAGATTAGAGAGAGAGAGAGAGAGAGAGAGAGAATTTGTTAAAGATTTGGGAGATGAGAGAGAATATAATGTGAGTTTATAGTTGATGTACCCTGAGCTAATTTGTTCAGTGTAGATGACCATTGTTTTGAAGATTTCTTATACGCAGCAAGAATTTTATCCATCTGCTCAAAAGATATAAATTGTTTTGAGTCTTAACTACATGGAAGTTTTGGCATGGAAAGATAAATAAGCAAATTTATTTATAGGTAAAAGTTTTAAAAATAATAATAATAAAAACACTTATGTAATCGATTTTGATGCAACAAAATAAATTACGAACATATAATGAAGAGTGGGAAGATTTACATTACAAACCACTCAATTCTTATGTATTTACATATCTAACAGCTAAACTTCAATTTTTACATGTATGCCCCCAAATCTATGCATGAAAAGTTCTACATCACTTATTAAAAGTTAAAATAATGGTGTTTTTTATATAATATGAAAGATTTGGTTGGTATATACGTAAAAGGTAAAATTTGGATGTCAGATAGATAAATACATGGGAATTGACTGGTATGTATGTAAATGCCCCAAAGTTTAATGATTTACATACATACCACTCAATTCTTATGTATTTACATAACTACCTCTTATACTTCAATTTTTACATACATGTCGCCTTGCCTATTCATGAAAAGTTCTATTTCACATTTTAAAAGTTAAAAATGGTGGTATTTTGATGTGATATGAAAGATTTGAGTGGTGTAAATGTAAAAAGTAAAGTTTGGGTGTCAGATATGTAAATACATAGGAATTGAGTGGCAAGTATGTAAAAGCGCCGGAGTTAGTAGACTTACATACATATCATTCAATACTTATCTATTCATGTATCAAACACGTAAACTTGAAATTTTACATACATGCCACCAAATCTATGCATGAAAAGGTCTATTTCACATTTTTAAGTTAAAATGGAGGTGTTTTTAATGTGATACAAAAGATTTGGAAGGTATAAATCAATATTTTTAAAAGTGCACTTTGAAGTGCGCTTCATGAGCAAAATGAACTACCTAGTGCCACTTCACTTCCCTAAGGCGCGCTTCACGAGCAAACATGATGCCTGCATCGTTTCGCCAAGGCGCACTTCGAAGTGTTAAAGTTAATTTACGATTTTCTTTTACATTTTTTATTTTTTACTCGTTGTTGCAAACTATTAAAAATTGTCCAAAATTTTAATTTGCAGTATTACCCTTAATATTTGTCTTCAAGTTATATATTATACCACATTTTTTTATATTTATATCAATTTTTCAAGTCATACATTATATTTTATAATTGTTAATGAATATATTTATACAGGTATAGTTCTGTATAACCTATTAGCGATTTGGCTAATAAAATCTCCTCTTCGTGCGCATTGCAGTAAAAATACAACCTTGCATATCACATCGTGCTTCACTTTGATAACCTCGGTATAAATGTAAAAAGTAAAGTCAGGGTGCTAGATAAGTAAACTTTTTAGCCGAAATAGAGAAAATATGGCTTACCACATTCCCACATGAAGAATGCATAGACAGCAACGCTCTCTCTAACACGTAGAGATCAACAGCTTTGTCCTCAGGAATAGTTGATGTGAAACTAAGACCAAAGTCAATTAGCACCTGAAAAACCAAATGAACCTTTTATGATTTACATGAATAAATGATCTTACAAAAGAAAAAAAATTTTAAAAGCTGTTCAATCGTTGAAAAAAAAAAAAATCGAAAGAAGATTTACAATTCCTATGTATTTACACATTTAACACAAAAGTTTCAATTTTTGCATGCATACCACCTTTCCCATGCACGAAAAAGTGTAATTCACTTTTTAAAAATTAAAATGGTGGCATCATTATGCGTTGTAAAAGATATGGGTGTTGTAAATGTAAAAAAAAACAATGTTTAGGAGTTAGATAGGTAAGAACCTAGGAATTGGGCGGTATGCATGTAAATGCACCTAATTTTTTTTTAAACTTGTGTTTATTACAGTTTTTTTCTCTATTGAAAAACCAACTTCCTTACAGCCACCATTATAGGACTGTAAACGAGCCAAGCTTCAACGAGCTCAGGCTTCACGTGTTCGGCTCTTTAAAAATTAATTATGTTTGAAATTGGCTCGTGTTTGAAAATATTCGTGAACAGTGTATTCGTATTCGGCTCAATTTGCATGTCCTTATTCATGCTCGGCTCATGTTAGGCTTGAAATTGACTCATTTAAATTAATTAAAAAAATAGATGTAATGTGTTGGATTCGAAACTGCACCATAGCCACTAGAGCTGTAGTGATTTAAACTTAGATATAAAAATATATAACATATTATTATGTAAATAATATATCTAAATTCTTTATTTCGAGCTAAAATGAGCCATGTTAGGCTCTAAATTGACTCGTTTAAATTAATTAGAAAAATAAATGTATTGTGTTGGATTCAAACCTGCACTATGACCACTTGAGTTGTAGTGATTTAAACATAAATATAAATATATATAATATATTATTATGTAAATAATATATCTAATTTCTTTATTTCGAACTAAAATGAGCCAAACAAGATCAAACAAAAAGGTTGTTCGTGTTCAGCCCATTTATCATTCGAGCTTAAAAAATTTGATCGTGTTTGGCTCACTTAACAAACGATTCGAACACGAATTGTTTGCAGACAACAAACTTTTTTGACAGCCCTAGCTACCATGCTCAAACAAATATGATCATAAAAATTTATTCTTACCACAAAACATTATGAAAAAAAAAAAAATTATAGTCTATATAATCATAAACACTTTCTAAGAAAAAAATTTGTGAAAAAACTATGGGGCATTTACATATATATAGTACTCAAATCTAAAATATTGCATCAAATATAACACAATTATCATCTTTTAAAAGATAAATACATCTTTTCATGCATGGGTTTAAAGCACCAAAGTGTTATGCTGTAAATATAGAAGTTTAGGAGTGAAATATATGTAAATACATAAGAATTGTGTGCTAGGCATGTAAGATTCCCAAAAAAAACTATTTCAAAAAGACTCCTAATAAGCATTTCAAACACAAAAAATGATAACAATAAAAACAATAATAAGGATTTCATCAAACTCACTCACCAATTGATTAGTTTCGTTCCGAATAATCATATTTGATGTCGTCAAGTCACCGTGAATTAAACCGCCATCATGAAGTTTTCCAATCGAAGCACCGATTTGCATGGCGAGTTCATTCATCAGCTCCACATTTATGCCATACAAACCAAAGTCAAGGAGTATATCTTTCACAGCTTTTCCTTCGACAAATTCAAAGGCAAGTGTATGAAGCAATGGATCAATGGCATATAGGGCAGGAGTGGGAACACCCAGTTTTCTTGCTTTCGTCATACAGCGAGCCTCCTGTGCCAAATCTCAAGTGGTTTATGAAATAATTTTTGCGCATTTATGCAAATACCATTAAATTCTTATTTATTTACATATCTAACATCTAAACTTTGCTTATCACATTTATACCGCCCAAATTTTTTATACATCCTTTTGAACTTTTAAAATGTGAAATGCAACTTTTCATGCATATATAAAGTGGTATGTATGCAAAAAATTGAAGTTTAAGTAGTAGTTATGTAAATAAATAAGAGTTGAGTGGTATGTATTGAAATCTTCCAATAATTTTGTAAAAACTGAAAAATGAACACATCTGATAGATTTCCCGACACAACATGAACATGAGTTTAATATGAGATCAAACTTAAGGCAAGGAAATGGATGCAAAAGAAATAACGGGAATTTACATACATACCATGCAATTCTTTCGTATCACATATATAACACCTAACATTATTTTTTACATTTATACCACTCAAATCTTACAAGTCACTTAAAAAAAAAAACTCCTTTAACTTTCAAAGAGTGAAATACAGCTTTTCACGCATAGGTAATGTGGCATAAATGTAAAAATTGAAAATTAGGTGTTAGATGTGTAAATACATAAGAATTGAGTTGCATGTATGCAAATTTTTCAAAATACAATTTGTTATGTTGCATTCAAAATGTGATCCCTGGTTGAAAAACTCACCATTAATCACAGCCATAACCGAAACATTAAGAAAATAAAGAGGGAAGATTTAGATACATACCATTTAATTCTTATGCATTTGCATATCTAACACTTAAAACTTCTTCCTTTTTTTTAACAAACCACCTCATCTATGCATGAAGTGTATTTCACTTTTAAAAAGTTAAATGGTAGTATTTTTTTATGTGATATGAAAGATCTTGGTGGTGTGAATGTAAGAAATTAAAGTTTAGGTGTTAGATATGTAAATACACAAGAATTGGGTGGCATGTATGACTACTTACAGCATTCAGCCGTTTAAGAGTCAATTTTGAATCCAAAGTCGGATGTCGATACTTCTTTGAAAAACGCTCTTTAACAACTGATCGACGTCCGAGAAAGATCGACTCAAAGATTCTCTGAAAAAATATCGGTTAGGCATTTACAACCTATAATATAGAAAATAGATTGATGGTATGTACGTAAACATTGTAGTTTAGGTATTATATATCTAAATACATAGGAATTGAGTAGTAAATGTACAGTTTCCTTTTTTTCATATTTACTATCATACCGCTTCGGCCCCTTGCTTCAGCAAAGCTCCAAAACTCTCGATCTGCTCCTGGTCAACCGCCATTTTGACTTGTATAAATGAAGAAAAAAAGCGAAAATAAGACAACTTAATTTTACAAAAAAAGCTGGATGTGAGCAAATAGACAGACGGAGTTATTTTTTAATCATTCATCATATAAATCATAAATACATAACAAGAAAAACATTGCTACAATCTGGAAACATAATTAAATTTCTTAACTACATTCTGTCTACAATGCACACAGCAGGATTTCATCAACATCATGCAGAATTTGGAGTTTGCAAGACAAATTTATGAAGCCGGCATTAAAATTTTTCGACAATCATTATTAATATCTTCTAAACTATCTGAAATGAGCTTCATGAAGGCCCCTCCAATGATTATTTTTAAAGGAAATTTACATATGTAGTAAACAATTCTTACGTATTCGCATATCTCACACCTAAACTTTAATATTTACATACATGGCACTTTGGTGTTTTAAACCTATGCATGAAAAGGTGCATTTCATTTTTAAAAGAGATAATAGTGCTATTTTTTATGTGAAATAAAAATATTTGAGTTCTATGTGTGTAAATATGAAGTTTACGTATGAGATACGTAAATACATGAGAAGTGTGTGCTATGTATGTAAACGCCCCTATTTTTAAACCCTATTTTATTAAAGTATATTTTTCAAAGCTTCTAGCCTTCTTATCTTTGGTTTATAATTATCATTTTTAGCTTTTTCATATATATATATTTTAAAGGAATGGCCGGAGGTTATTATACGAGCCCCGGCCATCCCTCATGCACCTTTCTACATCTATTATATTGGTGCATCTTTTGCCTCGTCATTATACATATTCAAAAGACAAAAATATATTTGGTACTACCACATCTTGACTAGATACCATTCTAAAAATTTGTATAATTTTATCATTTCTTAATTTACCCTTCGCAGCTTATGGCCTGTCCAATTTTTCTATATTAATTCTTTATTTCGTAAGACAAAATTACATCTAAATGCAACTTTATACAATTGTTCTTTTAAATATCTATATAAGATGGCACTCCAATAGTCGAGACAACCATCGAGGTTAGCTCTAAAAATTATAAACTTATTCTTTTTGTATACTTTGTCCAAATTAATTAATCCCGTTATACTTAGGCATCACATAATACTCCATCAAAAATGAATCATGAATTTGAGCTTAGATCCACTTAAAAAAATGCATCACATAATCTTATTCTTCACTCTTTTTTTTTTACCCCACTTAGTGGGATGAAAGCTTGTTATAAAGTTGACTCGGTGACACCAAACAATGTAGAGTGTAAGCAAAATTGTCGATACAAGGCTCTCGCCCGACCATCCCTCATGCGCCTTTCTACATATATTATATTGGTGCATCTTTTGCCTCGCCATTATACATAATCAAAAAACCTAAATATATTTGGTACTACCATACCTTCAATAGATACCATTCTTAAAATTTGTATAATTTTATCTTTTCTTAATTTACCCTTCCAAGCTTATGGCCTGTCCACACTCAATTTTGCTATATTATTTCTTTATTTCGTGAGACAAAATTACATAGCATAGGGGTCTAAATGCAACTTTATACAAATGTTCTTTAAATATCTATATAAGATGACACTCCCATAGTCGAGACAACCATCGAGGTTAGCTCTAAAATTATAAACTTAGGGTCCGTTTGAGGCAGCTTGTGCGTTTCAGGATAAGTTGTTTATCCTTAAACGCGGCCGTCGGCCGCAGGGGTCGACCCGCGGTCTGCGTTTATTTAGTGTAAAAACCGACTATGAAATCTTACTTGATGCATGTGTTAGGACCCGTTTGGGGCAGCTTATAAGGGTGCGGCGGCGTTTTCAAAACGCCGCCCGCACTTATAAGCTGCCCCAAACGGGCCCTTATTCTTTTTGTATACTTTGTTTGTATACTTTGTCCAAATTAATTAATCCCGTTATACTTAGGCATCACATAATACTCCATCAAAAATGAATCATGAATTTGAGCTTAGATTCACTTTAAAAAAATGCATCACATAACCTTATTTTTCACTCTTTTTTTTTACCCCACTTAGCGGGATAAAAGCTTGTTGTTATAAAGTTGGCTCGGTGACACCAAACATTGTAGAGTGTAAACAAAAATGTTGATACAAGATTCTCGCCTATGTAAAATTTGCATGGTGAGTTCAATTAACAATAATAAGAATAGGCCCGCCCTAAATAAATGAACTTTAGGACACAAAGGATGAGGGCATGGGGCGTCTTTGTCATAAGACTCGATCCTCAAGGGTTCATTCCTTAAAATAAAGTTCAGAATCCCATAGTAAATAGTTGATTGGCATATCCATAGGTTGTCTTCAATAAAGAGCCCAAACTTAAACCAAATCAGTACACTTAAACATATTGTCTTAAGCATGAGATAAAAAATGTCCGCCTTAATAAGCATAAAATTTACCCAAATATACAGATTTTAGTATTATGAAGGTCAAGGCTTACTACTCTAACACGAACAAACGAACTTCATGGACAATGGCACGACCCTGAGATGTAAATGTGTCTAGAGTAGAGCTTGCTTCTCTAAATATAGAGTAGTTTGATAATTGGTCTTATAACATTTTCCCTGAACCGACCTAAATGTTAATATCATAACAAATGAATTTAAAGACCATATGCAAGTGTGAAGCCAAGTATCTTAGCCAACATTGTGTATCAGGTCCTAAAAGCCAATATTTAGGGCCTATTGCTCCATTATCATAGACGCCCAGAAGGTAGAGCTTATCATTGTGATATTGACGGGTTGTTTGGCAAAGACATTTAATAAGATTTTTCACCGGATTTATAATAAATCCAACCAAACAACAAGATGTGCGAGTTAAGTGGATTTATAGATTTACAGATTTACTAAAATCAAATTTTCCAATGATTTGGCCTAAATCCCAAATTACTGAATCTGAAGGTTCGATGGATGTATGGATTTATTAAATCCTATTAAAGTAAAATCTTGCTTGCATCTAAACAGCCTATGAGAGTATCTACAAGTGATGGAGTAGTAAATCTATCTGTGTACTCTGAGTCGAGCAAATCCATGTATTTCAACTTTAACTATTGGGTCTGATGTCATTATATTCTTGTATTTCATGATTGGTCTAATTTAGTCAGCTCAGATGCATGAACAAATCCTTTGACAGTATGACTTTGTTTATTCAGCCTATATCACTTCTAAATAGAAGAACGAGCAAAATCCTTTCTCAAATATATCCTAGCAATGAAGTGTCACGTCACTAAGATAAACTTGGTCGATTTAACAAGAGCTAATCCTATGTCGACTAAAATTATCTCCAAAAATTTTATTCAATTTTACACTTATAATGTGAAAAACAATTACTCCATATGTAATTAATATGCCCTGACCGACATTAGGATATTATCTAATTGAATAAAAAAGATGTTTTGATGGAATCTTTGGACTAATTAAATTGATATAAGCTTCATTTTACATGGACCGGATATCTGAGGTGTTATAAGCAAATCATAAGTTGTCAAATCCTCAACAGTACAAATCATGGGATCAGAAATCCTTGAAGAAGAATGCGGAGCTAGGAAGCAATATACCATTGAGTTCGTCCACTCACACAATAGAATGTTGAATACGAGAAGCGTCAAAAGAATCGGTGTGAGCGGAGGCGGCCAAGGCGGGAAAAATCGAAAAGGGCTAGAAGGGGCTCACCTTTCGCTTTCAAGCTTTCGGAGAAACCCTCGAACTATTCAGCTAAAGTATTCAAGACCGCAAAACATCGGCACATCGCTATAAATTAATTTATTAAAACAAAAATTAACCACGAAATATAATTGTACTTTTAAAATTTTTAAAATTATGAAACTCGTCTCTTATGAGTCGTTTTGTTGTGGATTTAAGAGGAAATTTATGCCAAATTTAAGCTAAATTTTATTAAAAAAACAATAAATCTTACTGAATTTTCTGATTTTAACCCTATTTGCCCTAAATCCTCAATTTACTAAACCCAACTATTCTATGAATTTAAAGGATTTAGTGGAAAGAAACATATGAAGGAGAGAGAAAGGCACTCATAAGCTTGAAAGGGGGTAGGGGAAATGGGAATTATGGTTACAATAGGGGCTTTGAAAACCTGACTAGACTTTGAACCGGAAGTATGATGTTCAAGTTTTGAAGGTTGAACCGGGCAACACCATAACAACAACAATAACGACAATAACAAACCTTTATCCCACAAAGTGGGTCGGCTACATGAATCCTTTTTCTCCATTAAGTCCTATTGAGTGTCATTTTCATTTAATTCTAATAAATTAAGATCATTTCTTATACAATATGCCCAAGTCTTTCTATGTCTATCTGTCTTTCTTAACATTAGTCAAATCTAAAACATCTACTATCCTAATCGGATCATCAGATGGTCGACATTTAATGTGACCAAATCAGGCAATACCATAAATATAAAAAAAATATATACGACTTAAATGAAGTAATAATGGAGTATTATGACATAAATTTTCATCAAAGTAGCCACCTTGCTCCCCTAATGCAAGGCAACATGTGCAACTTTTTTGTTTGTTCTACACTACAGTATAAATTCAACATAATTATTAAAAAAGTACCAAATTCAACTGACACAATTACAAGATGCTTAACAATTAAAACCATTATTTATACTCCATAAAATATCTACTAAAAAGCAAATACAATAATAAATAATCCCCTTGATGCTGAACATACCACCTCTAGCCATGCTTCATAAATAATCCTCACCAGGCATTTTAGAGAATCAGTAAATTAACAACATGAAAAAAGGAAAAACTTCAATTCCAAGCTTCAAGCTTCTCAAATGGTTCCTTAACAACGCAATACTAGAAGCAAATATTACAGTTCCAAACAAACACTAATAAATCCTATGACAGTTAGTAAATCCGTGACAAGCAAAGAGTAAGAATGGCGCGAACAGGCTTACCTTCCTCAGTGGTTTCTGGTGGGAGCGGAGCAAAAGGATGAGAAAGATGGGAGTTTCGGTGTTCTCTGTAAGCCGCAATCCCTTCGATGCCTTACCAGTCAGCTCTAATGGCGCTGTATCGCGAAGGTTCGTTCACGAAGGCGATGGTTTTGAGCCAAACTGGGAGGGAGAGGGACATCAGCTAGGGTTTTGGAATGGGGAAGGGGGATGAGTTTGTGGTTCTAATTTATTTTTATTTAAGTTACATTTAACTATTTAATTGATTAATAATTAATAATAAATTTATATATTATCAAAATAATTATATTAAAATAAATTTAAATGTAGCTATTTAATATTTAACTAATGAATAAAGTTTAATTTTCAAATTTTAAAATATTTAATGAGATTCTATGTAATTTTTAATTTATATAATTAATAATTGATTAATATCAATTATTGTTAAACAAATATTTTGTTCAAATTATTATTTATTTATTAAATAATATAATTAATTATTAATTAATACAAATTCATATTTTTTATGTACTTTGAGGTTTTAAAAATTCATTTATATTTTTTCTTATTTAATTTTTATCTTTGGGTTAGAGAGGCTCTTTGCCAATACCATAAATAGTTATAAGGTTTCTGAACCCATGTGGAGACTGAAATTTATGTTTAATCTTCCTAAAGTTGTAAGCAGTTTCTTAGGATTTATCAATATTTATTTCTTAAAATAACAACGGAATTTAACCCCTCAAAACTTAATAAATTCATATTCAGAATATTGGGTAAATGTTATTTAAACTCAATACTACTTGCAATCAAACAACCCCTAGAAGTAAGCAGCACCACAAAGTATTTCCTCCTAAAAAAATCATATGCAACACATATTCAAACCAAAGAAACGAAGACAAATGATATCGAGTTGGCCGACGAACAAATGGTCAGATGTCGACATGCAGGAGGCATGTCTCAGAAGGTCGAGTGAACTTTGAGTGTGAGATGCAAAACATTGATACAAGAATATGAAATAGGGTTTTGTTGTGCAAGCAAGATGTGAGAGAAACTTATGTGTTGAATCCTAAATTGTCTTCCGTGACCACGCCTCAAGAGTTAGAGCTTAAAGAGGAGGAGATGTGGAGTAAAGGGAGAGATTAGAGAAAGAATTTTGTCTCTATTTGATACCTGATCTGCTATATATAGGGGTCTCAGAATACAATTAAATAGAATGGATATAGCAATTATCATAACCGCCCAAATAATAAAATTGATGTGCTCGTCGAATGAAAAATATATTATTACTTAAAGAAAATAAAAAGGTTGTCAATCGATTGTTATTTCAGCGTCGATTGGCTTTGTCAACAGACAATTGGATCGATTTCGCGAATGATTCTAGTCCACCGGTGCAACCGCCCGGCCGACTCCAGTCGAGGTCGCTCCATCGATCATAGTTGATGGATTTTGCTATGCGATCGACCGCCAGTCTAGTCTCCATCCCACACTTCGGTACCAAACTTCAATCGCTTGAAACATGATCTTTTCCGTTCGATCCTTTGAGATTTATGCTTACATTTTTGTCGTATAAATATTAGTTCCCTACTTTTCCTTTTTCTTAATGGCGAAAACTATTATAAAGATATAGAAATTATTGAGTAATAAATGACACAACAACCAAAAAAATTAATTTAATAATTATTTCTCCCTTGAGTCGACACGAAAATATCTAGGTCAGGGTTGACCAAATATTTTTCAAGTCATGTTCAAGTTAGAGAATCTCACCCGTTTATAATCTAGGTCGGGTTCGAATTAAACCAAAAAACCTACATATGACCCCAATAAGCACAAAAGTTTTGGGTCGGGTTCAGGTTAGCTGGTCAAGCACTGGTTTGGGTCTTAATTTTCGTCCCATTTATTATTCGAGTCAGGTTTGGGTTGACCCTATTCGGGTTAAACCCAACCCGCTAACCCGAGACACCACTAATTTACGTCAAATAACACTTATCAAATCTAATGATTTATTTTTTACAACGGGTTCATGAGCGACCACGAAATAAATCTGCACCGTAATCAGATTTAATAAATATGAATTTACATACAAAAGAAAATGAAACGAGAGAAAACTGACAAGATACGAGAAAATTAGATTTAATGGAATAGTAAATTTAATATTTAATTTTGATATGCTATCAACAAATTTTCAACATTCGACATGAATCTCAAGGCATGCACGGATCTAGAGGCGATCTTTGAAGCAATAGACATTCAAATTTCGATTAAAGTCACCGAACAGTCTAATTTTAGCAAAAGTAAAAATCAAATTGATCGACTTGATTAGACTGACCCATTGGTATCAATACGGGTAAAATCATGCCTCGATTAAACCATCAAACCAAATTTGGAAGGTTTTTGGACATATTTGGAAGACCAAACAGATGGCGAATCTAACGAGCATATAAGTGGATCTAGCGTCTCGATAAGACAAATGCAACAAGCTGAGTATCGCTCAATTCTGACACTCTTAAGATACTCAAATATCCATCAAATGTCATCTGATCATGAGAATCTCTATAGAGCATCCAGTCAGGGTGTTTCATATTCCTTCATTAATTGCAACTTAGACTCTATAAAAAGAGTCCAGTCAGGGTGTTTCATATCCCCTATTAAAGAGGGCCTAGTTCTTGAAATTTGAAGAAGACTAAAGTTTAGAAAATGAGCTAAAATCCTGCATCACTTTTAGATGTATGATCCACTGCTCTCAGACCAACTCCAGTCGTCGTCGCCGCCCCTCTAGCCAACTCCGATCGCCGCAGCCCCCAATCCAACTCCAATTTTTATAACCCCCAATTCAACTATGTCCGACACTGCCTTCAGCTAACTCAGGCCTTCGTTGCCATCCGACTAACTTGGGTCGTCGTTGCCTCCAGTCAACTTTGACGCCAATCCTCTTACAGTTGCCAACCGCTGTCGAACACCGCTCGCTGGGTATTGCCAATGATCATTAGTCACTGCCCACTCCTCGTGACAAAACATCGCTCAAAACAACCCACAAAACGACGCATCGTCATGAACGTCAAGTCGAACTTGAAGGCGATCCGTTGAAGCCCCAACTATCATTTATCCTGTTACGATAATCCCAATCGCGGGGCAACAAGTTCATCTACGCATCGACATTATAACTTGAGAAACTATGTAACACTTTCTCTCTTGTGGAATAAATAGTTATATTTATAATCACCAATTGATAGTGGACCTCTTCAACTGAGCGTGGCTCCGAGATTTTTTTAGTTTTTTGGTTTTCAATGTAAGGACTTCTGATATTTCTATTATTATTATTATTATGCGAGTGTTTGTTGAATCTTCATATAATAACAAAAATTTTCTGTCCGACTCCGAGATTTTTTTAGTTTTTTGGTTTTCAATGTAGGACTTCTTCCAGACGTAGCTCTACGTGCGGACTCCAATAATATATTGACGTGTGTGCTATACCCGACCCACACAAGAAAATATTAAAGTGGAACCACATGTGTTATTAGAGTGGAGCCACAGAGGTTATTCAAATGAAACTGCAAATGTTATTTAGAGGACTATTGAGAGGTTATTAGGATATTAACTTCAACAAAACCACAATAATCCCTCAATAAACCCCAATAACTCCCAAATAACTTTCACGATTCCACACTAATAATCCATTGCAATAACCCCTAATGACTCCCAAATAACCTTCTAATAATATTTGTAATTCCACTTCAATAACCTCCCAATAATAACCTCACTCAATAACTCCCTAATAACATCTTTGTTTCACTTCAACAACCTCCGCAATAACCCCTAATAAATGCCCAATAACCTTCTCAGTTTTCCTTCAATAAACTTCATGCACATATTACGATATATTACTGAAAGACCACACGCAGAGGTGCGTCCGGAATCTAGATGTCAAATCTTTTACTACTTATTCAATCAAAACAAAATTTATCATTAATTTCTATGTTACCGAACACAATTGTGGCACTTTCCCGTACGAAAACAGCACCGCCATCGATACGCAAACAGCACCGCCATCGCTACGCGAGCGCAGGAGAGATTTACCAAGATTTTCATTCCTGTCTGAATCCCGAGCGCAGGAGAGATTTACCAAGATTTTCATTCCTCTCTGAATCCGCGAGAGAGAGAGAGAGAGAGAGATGAGAAACCACGGGCATCGGATCCCCCTGGAGGTGATGGGAACCATGATCGAGATGGCAGACGTCGCATGGAATGCCCTCGAGCATCGCCGGGAGAGGAAAATCGTCACAGCCGAGGTGGAAGATGAGATAGCGCGCCTTCACTCTGAGAACCACCGCCTCAAGGCTCTCCTCGCCGAGAACGCCCACCTTATCCATGACATCTCGCAGATTCCTTCTCTGATCAACGAATGTCCTTCCGATGTGATTCTCTTTTCCTTCTTTACTCTGAATCTTGATTAATTCATGATTAATCGTTCTTAGATATTTTCTGAAATTTTGGGGGCACTTTGCTTCAACATCGTATGCTGCTGTCCATTTATATTGTTGTCAACACTAGATTAAGATTTCTTTGCCCTTTTTATGCTTTGTATAGACTAAATTTCAGTGTTATCTATATGGCAGCGCAACTCATTAAAAACATTTGGTTGTTGGAAACTCTCTTGAAAATTTGATCTGAATTCTATGTATTTTAATTAATTATTTATCTTTTCTGTAGGAATTATTAGTCATATGATTTGAATTCGTGATTCATCCAAGAAATGATTTTACCATTTTCTGATGCTTGAAGTTTGGGTAAGGCGAGAAAAATTTACGTACGCAGCGCTGCACGTGTCAGTGAGGTGATTCAGGGTATTGTGGGGTTATATCTGCTTTATATCCCCTGTAACCTCTCTGAAACCTACATGTACCTTTTAGTAAGTTCTACATTTTTTTTTTCATGTATTTGTAGGTTACAGGTAGGTTACAAGAAAGTTACATGGGGTATAACACGGATATAACCCCCAATACCCTATGAATAAACTTCTTGACATACGCAACGCTGCATATGTCTTACGTACGCAAATTTTTCTCGGGTAAGGCAGGGTGGATAACTTTTGGGATTTCATGAGATGCAGTAAATATTCTATCTACTGTTACCATGTTAGAAAATTGGGGCATTCACATACATACCACCCAATTCCCATATGTTTGCATATCTAACACCTAAACCTTTCTTTTTTACATTTATACCTCTCAAATCTTTCATATCACATAAAAATATTATTTTTTTAACATTTAAATTGTGAAATACACATTTTCATGCTTGGGCAAGGGGTTATGATTGTAAAAACTGAAGCTTAGGTGTTAGATATATAATACATAGGAATTAAGTGGTATGTAGGAAATCTTCCTAGAAATATTATCAAATTGAACAATTAAGTAATAGTCATGGAAATTTGTATTTGTTAGAATAGCAAGAAGCTGAAATTTATTTCTATAATTTAAATGTACATCCTTTATACTGCATACTATGCAGGTGTGCCCACAGATAGTGCTTAGGTCCCATTTGGCATCAGTTTTACTTTCTGTTTTTTCTTAAAATTTTTTTCTTTTGCTTTAAAATATATTTTTGTTTAATGTATTTTCTGCATTTTTATTCTTCAATGTCTCTATTTAAACTTTAAAGAAACATTATAATGCAAAGAACTAATTTAATTCCAGATTTTTAAACAAACTTTCAAATGATAAATTGTTTAAACTTTATGGGGAGTTATGAAGTCTAAGATGTTTAAATTGGGAATCTCTCTTTGTTTACAAATATCCTATCATGAATACAATTTTATTTAATTTTTTGATGGCAGCTATATTCACAACTCTTAGCTGCTGTGAACTCTACAAACTTCCTGGAAACAATTGAATCACTTGATAAAAAGCTCATATCTGGATCGAAAGCGGATTTATCAAACTCCAAATACACAGGTTTTTTTATGATGGTTGCAGCTTTTAATTAATATTTGGGGCATTTAAATACGTAGCACACAATTCTTATGTATTTACATATCCTACACCTAAACTTTCATATTTATACACATGGCACTCAAATCTTTAGAATCACATATAAAAAACCCTATAATCACTTTTTAAAAGTGAAATACAGATTTTCATGCATATGTTTAAATTACCAAAGAGCTATGCATGTAAATATATAAGGTACATAAATACATGAGAATTGTAAGATATATATGTAAATTTTCCTTATTTTTTCAATTCATTTTGATGCATGTGGGCTTCTTTTATTGCTCATCTACCATCCAGTTTGATGTTGTTTATATCCTACAAGCAGATCAGAATGCTCCAGATGTTTTGATTCGTGATGATGAGGATGATTCTAGTTGTTGGGTCTTGGTTATGCGTGATGCGGTTCCATATAATTTGGAGGAAATGAGTGAAATTGACACTGAAAATTATGTTATAATAACTGAGGAGAATGTGGTTGATGGCATCGCCAACTTCATGGCTAGATGTATTCTGGAAAATCCAAAATCTAAGGTGACATTGGCCTTTAATTGTGTTGTTTGATAATAGGTTACATAAATACCACCCAATTCTTCACTTCTTATGAATACAACTCAAATATTTAACATCACATCAAACATACCAGCATCACTATTTTTTAAAAAAGTGAAATACACCTTTTCATGTATAGGTTTATGACACCAAAGTGTTAAAAGTGTAAATATCAAATTTAGGGTGTTATATATGTAAATACAGAAGAATTATGTGGTATTTATGTAAATTTCTCATAATTATTTTCCGATTTTAATTATTTTCTATTCATAAATTGCAGAGCATATCACCACAGGAACTACAAAAAGGTAACCTTTGCGCTTCATGTCATTCTAGAACCACAATGTATCCTACAATTTGGTACATTGGTGATCTTATAACTAGCGTCATCTATATCTTCATGAGCTCATGATTTTGGGGAAATATTTTCATACGAAATACGCATGCATTTTTGCGTGTGTAATAACCCCTCAATAACCTTCGTTTCGCGGTTGTTGGAGAGTTATTGGGATATTAATTTCAATAACATATAACTCCAATAACCTTCTAATAACCTTCGCGGGTTTCGCGGGTTCTATTTGTGGATGTTATTCATAGGTTATTATGGGGGTATTGCGGGGTTAATCGAGTACGTACAGAGTGCTACATGCATATTCCGTATGGAAATATTTCCCGTGATTTTGTTGAGCAATTCAATTATATTAACAGTTGGAATATAATCTATGGTTAATACAATTATATTTTACTTTTGTGTTTCATGTGCTTGTTTATCATGGGATTCATAGTTTTATCAGTTTTAAAACGTTACTGTGAACTTATCTTTTTGCTCTTTCAACTTTTTCCCTATGGATTCAGCCATATAAAATTGGAATTGGTGAAAATCCATTGTTGAGATTAACAATATGGAATGAAGCAACATTTCATTTATTTTAATTGCTTTTTGGCTGCTAATGTTTTTCAACAAGAGAATCAATAACTAAAGAATTTTGCTCTGGAAAACAAACTCATCTTATTAATGGCTTGAGCTTATATAGAGTCTTACAGCGTTTACAAATAAATCACTAGACTTCTTCTATTTACAAATAAGATCTTACATTAGATACAAATCTCAGCACTCCCCCTCAAGATGAAAAAAAGATATCCACTAAGCTCATCTTATCTCATAACCTAGACAAATCTAATGAACTAAGTCTTTTGGTGAAGCAGTCAACCACTTGCTTTTCTGTGGCTATATGGCTTAGCTCCAGTAGTCCGTTATTCAGCTTTTCTTTGATGAAAAACCTATCAATCTCCACATGTTTGGTTCTATCATGCTGCACCGGGTTGTTGACGATGCTGATTGTTGACTTGTTTCACCACAACTTCATTTGAGCTCCTTGGTCCATCTCGAGCTCTACCAACAAGGCTCTCAATCACATCATCTCAGCAAGTCCTAAGGTCACGACCCTATACTCCACCTCTGCTGTTGACCTCGCTACTATTGACTATTTCTTGCTCTTCCTGGAGACCAAGTTGCCCCCCTTACGAACATGGAGTATCTAGACGTGGAGCCCGAGAGACTGTTTGTGAGTATTGATGTGAATTTTAAAGAATTCGAACCAATAGTAATGGTGAGAGATTGGTACAGGTGAGTATGATGCCTCATCCCATTGTGTGGGAAAGATCGACTGAGGAACAACCGGAAAACTAGCCCGAATAAGGTGAGATTCGAGCTCAAGGGGAGTTGAGGGTATATACAAAGGGAAAAATGTAGAATAAGGGAACAGTGTCTGCGTGTCACTCATGCCAACAAGTCCCTTTTCCTGATCTACACTGTCATCCATAAATATTTGGGTCACAATATCCCTAAATATTTACACGTCCATTCTTCCTGAAGATCAACCCCTTCCCTGGTGCACTCTTCAGGCACCTCAAAATCTAATGTACTGCATCCATGTGACCCTTCATCAGATCATAAATGCAACAACTCACCACACTTATTGCAAATGATATGTTGGGACGAGTGTGACCCAAATAGATGAGACCACTTATCAATCTCTGGCACCTCTCGCGATTAACTTACTCTCCTGCCTATTTGCTCAACTTTTTCCTCTGATCAAGTGGTGACACTGCAGGCTTGCATCCCAGCATGCCTTCCTCTTTGAGCAAGTCTAACATTTACTTTCTCTGAGATAGAACAATCTCTTTTTCTCTACGGGCCACCTCAATTCCGAGCAAGTATTTAAGCTATCCCAAGTTCTTCACCTCAAACTCTTTACCCAAAATTGCCTTCAATTGATCAATTTCTTCCTCATCATTTCCATTGACAATCATACCATTCACACACACAACAAGAATAATAATGTGACCACCTCGAAAGAATGTTGTCTGGTCGGCATTGAACTGCTGATAATCCATATCTACAATAGTATTTCTGAATCTGTCATACCAAGCTCGATGAGACTTTCAAACCGTATAATGACTTTCTTAATTTAAATACCTTGCCCACTTTTTGGTTCGTGTTGAAACTTGTGGGTATCTCCATTTACACCTTCTCTAGCAGATCCCCATGAAGAAGCGCATTTTTTACATTCCGTTGGTGTAATCCACCATTCACAACTAGAGTGACGAGTGTCCTGACTGTGCTCTTCTTTGACACCGGTGCAAATGTCTCATTATAGTCGATGGCGTACTTCCAACTATACCATTTCGCCACCAACTTTGCTTTGTAGCGAACAATCTTTCCTTTTGAGATCTGCTTCACTGTGAAGCCCTATTTGCATCCAGCTTTCTTTTTCCCTGCTGGCAGCAACGCGAACTCCCATGTCCTGTTCTTATCAAGAGCACCAAGTTCCTCTAACATTGCAGCCTTTCACATTGGATCATTCTTAGCTATCTGCCAACACTTTGGTATAGAGACCGTGTCCAAAGATGCACTGCATGCTTCATGTAAAGTTGGTATGTTAGAGTATGAGACAAACTAGGCAATGTCATGTGAGAAACCAAAATGATTGAGAGAATAATGATCAGGATGATGAATTGCATTGCTGCAAGAGATCCTCCTTAAAGTCATGGCAGTAGGAGGAGAAGAGATAGTAATCATATCACCTGTATAATCAGATTCCGAGGTGGATGGTGTAGGTGTCTCAGGAGTCAGTGTAGATCAGGAAAAGGGACTTGTTGGCATGAGTGACACGCAGACACTGTTCCCTTATTCTACATTTTTCCCTTTGTATATACCCTCAACTCCCCTTGAGCTCGAATCTCACCTTATTCGGGCTAGTTTTCCGGTTGTTCCTCAGTCGATCTTTCCCACACAATGGGATGAGGCATCATACTCACCTGTACCAATCTCTCACCATTACTATTGGTTCGAATTCTTTAAAATTCACATAAATACTCACAAACAGTCTCTCGGGCTCCAACTAGCATTCCCTTTCTGAGTGGCAGAATAACCCACGAAATTATACATCACAGCTCTAGGATCTGACTTTCCTGTTGATGGTCTATTATCCTTCATAAAACATAAACAACTAAATACCTTCAATGAGAGGAACCCGACATTATCTTCTTTCAACAATTCACAAAGAGATTACCACTCTAAAACTCTTGATGGCTTTCTGTTGATCAATTGAGCTCTGTCAAAATAACTTGCTCCCACAAATGCTTTAGGTGTTTATTCTTCCTCTATGCTACTCTTTTTTGTGTCGGTGTATCCCTTGGGCTAATAGGTACTCTGCAAACGTCTTGTTCGTATATTCTGTCCATCAGACCTCAATACCTTCACTACTACATTATATTAAGTCTGAATCTCTCTGTGAAAGTCTCTAAAGCAGGCAAGTACATTATTTTTTTTTCTCATCATAACCAAGTAACATGAGAAAAACAATCAATGAAAGTCACACAATATTAGTAGACATTCATTGAAATTGTAGAACAAGATTCTCATACATCTGAGTGCACCAAATCAAAAACACAAGAACTCATATTACCATAACTAACATAGAACTCTACATTGTCCTCTCATTTGCTTCTGAGAACTTAAAAAATCCTCCACACCACTCCTACCCATAAGCCTTTCAAAACCATGCACAATTTTTTTCTCCGTCACGATGGTACAAAGCCGTTCGACCGCACGCAGAACCGCGGGATCCCTGCGTTTGAAACCTCGCCACAAAGCCACAAACTTTGCATCTGAAACCTAACCACAAAGTTGTTGCTTTCTTGCTACTCTGATTCACATTAAAGTCTCGTCGCTCCTCCACGCTCAAACTGGTAAGCCATAACACACGACAGTTTTTGCATAGCGCAACAACGGTTAGGGTTTGGGCTCTGATATCATAAAGAATTAATTGCTCTGAAAGACATACCCATTTCATTAATGCCTTGGGCTTATGTAGAGCCTTACAACATTTACAACTAAATCCCCATACTTCTTCTATTTACAAATAAAACCTTATATTAGATACAAATCTCAACAATGTTAAATTTTGTTTGCTTGAATTGAGAATGTTGAGATGGTTGTATGGTAAGAGAATGATGGCATTAAATGAACAAATAATAGTGATTATGGTTTTTACACCTATTGAGGATTATGTTTTGGAAAATAATCTCTAGTGGTTTTGATATATATATATATATATATATATATATATGGATGGATGGAAAACATAAAAAAGATGTTATGAAAATTATGGTGCTATTAAATTTCTTGTGTGCTCTTCTTCTCTTTAGATTATTTAAATGAGAAGATGCTAGTTTTATCATCGCATTTTTGGTACGGAATTTTAAACATGATGATAAAACTTTGTGCTTATTAGTTTTCTTCATAGTCCCTTTTTATGGAACAATGTATTAAATTATCGGGCCAATTACATCGTAGCACACAACTCTTATGTATTTACATATCTCACCTAAATTTTCATATTTACACACATAACACTCAAATGTTTACTATCACATCACAAATAACATTATTATCATTTTTTTAAAATGAAATACACCTTTTCATGCATAAGCTTAAAACGCCAAAGTGCTATTTATGTAAATATGACAGTTAAGGTGAGACGTCTAAATACATAAGAATTGTGTGCTACATATCTCAGTTTCTCTATTTTTGAATTTGTGGTTTTGTGAATTAATTGTTTGATCCTTTAAATTTTGGTGATGCAATTATAATGAAACTAACTTTTTGAAAATATAGCGGTCAGCAAGGCTTTGGGTGACATGAAAGGCAGGAATGTGTTGAAGAGCTTGTGGGACGCTGGAATAGTCATCTACACCTTATCAACTTGGGGAATATTTCTAACAGGGTAAGAAGATCTTTCATGCTCAAACTATTTGATTGTTACTTAAAATTGGTTTAAAATTAGTAGAATTATGTGAAGTCCTATTTGTTTATTACAAATATAACCTTGCCATATGGAGAACCCACCCTTCGTCAGCACGGTGATAGATGATGTAAAACAATTAATTCTCAAAACATTAAAATGATTTTTGTAAATTGTGATGAATATGCACATGTGGAATTGATCTAAAAGGAGTTTTGAACTTTATTTTTATTTTATGGCATTTATAGGTGACAAGCACTTTGAAATATTGAGGCAACTTAACTTTTTCTGTAAGGTTTATTTTTATTTTTTTTGGAAAATTTATATATGTACCACACAATTCTTAAGGATTTAAATATCTAACACCTAAAGTTTGATATTTGCATCTGTAACACATTGGTGCTATAAACCTATAGATAACAATGTGCATTTGACTTTTAAAAAGTTAGCAAAAGTGGAATTTTTGATGTGATGTTAAAGATATGAGTGCTATGAATGTAAATGTTAAAGTTTAAGATATGTAAATACATAAGAATTATATGGCATGTATGTAAATGCCCTTTTTTCTTGGATAAATTGGTAATATTAAGGAACCGAGAACCAAAGATAAAATCAACACCAGTATTGATATCCATCATAGGATAACATCAATAGATAATTCATACAGTGCTATATTGTAAGTTACTCATCTGATTCATCAACTGTATTTAATATAGTTTTAATTTCACATTCAAACATAGGTTTTATCTCCATTAGAACTTCATGTTGGTGTAAGATTTCATGTTCTCTTTTATTTTATTTTATTTTATTTTATTTTTTTTTTGTGGAGCCATAGTCGCACCATTGTAGCTATTGTAGCTATTGTAGTGGCAATCTTTGCATATATTTACTTTTTTATTTTATCTTTCTAGGATTGCTATAGTTATTTTTATTTGTATCGACAATATCTGAAAATCTAAGGATATGAGTCGAATAAATTTTCTAAGATATTTATTTTGATAACTTGTTTTTAATAATTTTTTGTCTCTTTAGTTTTAATCTTGTGTATGTATTTATGTATGTCATTATGTATTCAATGAGGCGTAAATCTCACAGTGATTTTTTCAAGAAAGAGCTAGGGCAGGCTTATGACAAAATTAAGGATGAATTAAACTTTAATTCATTAAAAAATTGCATGAGGCTTTAAACATATTTTTAGTTATAAAGGAATATTACAATGGTGTTATAATCGGATTATCACATATGATTCATGCCTTTAATTCTTTTGAGGTTGTTTTAGATGCACAAAGTTGTTCTAGTTAATATTTAATTCTACATCAAAACATTTATAATAAATGATATTCATGAATTATAATTTATTTGTCAAAGGGTTGGTGTAGCTCTAGTGGCAGACAAGATTAGAGAGAGCCGTCTTAGATGGTTTGGTCACATTAAACATCGACCATCTAAGGATCCAGTTAGGAGAGTAAATGTTTTAGATTCGACTTATGTTAAGAAAAACAAAGGTAGACCTTAAAAGACGTGGGCATATTGTATAAAAAATAATCTTAGGCTATTAAAGTTAAATAATAATTTGGTACTCAATAGGACTCATTGGAGAAAATGGGTTCATGTGGCCGACCCCACTTAGTGTGATAAAGGTGTTGTTGCTGCTGCTGTATGAATTATATTCTATACTTGATATAGAGTAAAATTTGGAATTTGAAAGAAAAACTTGAGCATAAAAGTTTGTATGAACTTAAATGCTTAGGGTCATTTACATCCATACCTCAAAATTCTTATGTATTTTCATACACCTAACATCTAAAATCTCAAATTTACATGCATACCACATCACATAAAAAATATCACTATCACTATCTTTTTAAAGTGAAATACACCCTTTCATGCATAGGTTTATGATACAAAGGTGTTATAATTGTAAATATCAAACTTTGGGTGTTAGATTTGTAAATTCATAAGAATTGTGTGGTATGCATGTAAATCTCTCAAAATTTTAATATAGAATAATATCTTATTGTGACACGGAACCAACCATATTTACCATAGTTGATGAACTTGTTGAGCAATCTGAAAGTACTGATTTTTATGACTAAACAATGAAAGTTTATCCTTGCTTTGAATGATCAAATTGATGTTGACTTTTCTTTGGTTATTGAAAGTTAATTTTTCATAGCGAGGTTTGACTATCCATGTACATATACCATATCTGCATTGCTTGTCTACTTTTATGTTCTTTATCATATTTTCATTTTGGTATTAACTATTGGTTTTGTTTAATATTCCTTAACATTTATACTATTATTTTAGTATTTTCGTTGCTGGCATAATCTCATGTTGATCATTTGCATGTTTGTTTGAATATTTACAAGACGTTAATAATTAATTATAACTATCATAAGCTTTTTGCTTATATGAATAGATGGCGCACGAAATTTAAATCTAAGATGAAGTTATAGCACATTGAAATTTTTGAAGGCTTCATTCAAGATCCTTTTAAGAAGTTGAATGCGAGAAAGGGAGGGTTATTTTGGAAATTTACAGAGCATTAGAACTATTTTTAGGGTTTATGGACTCTTCTCTCATTTTATCACATATGGGTGTTATTGTCGGTCAACTTTTTTGATTAATAGATTTATTTGAAAATATGAAATATGAAAATAATTTTTTGAGATTTAATTTTTGTATAAAAGATATATAGTTTGAGTTTTAAAAGTAGTGTGTTTTAGTTTTTTAAAAAATGAGACCAAGTGGATCTCATTAGTCTGATAGTTTGCATAATCGTGTCTGATACCGCGAATACTACACCTTCCCGAGAGATAAGTGTAGACATCAGCGATAGACCCAATCCTGCAAACTAAGAGATTTGTGACATCTGTTTGGTCTGCGAACCTTTTATATATGACCGACAAATTCCCCTATTTAATACAAAGATTAAATAGGGTTTATTTTACCTGGGTTCCAAGTTCCCTATA